TCCTTGGGGCACCAAGAGGAAGTAAGACCAGAATCTCTTTAACACTAGAAACCAAGAAAATTTGGATCTGTGGGATTCAAAATGAGTCAGAAAGAGGAGTGCTGCAGAACACCAGCAAAAACAAAACAAAACAAAACAAAAATGAAACAACAAAAAAAACCCACATTTATTTATTCACTCAGTGAGTCTTATTTATTAGGTACTGATCTAAGGACTGAAGATACAGTGGTAAACAAATTTCCCGCCTTCATGAGGTTCATTTTCTAGTGCGAGAAGACAAAAAAATAAACATGTGACTCTATAGACAATCATGGCAATTAAGTGCTATGGAGATGAATACAGCAGGTGGATACAGAGTATGGCAGAAGCTTTTAATTGTTTCCTAGATTTCATTCTTCTTTTCATCTTTTAGAAGAAGAACCTCTACCTCAAGTTTTAGCTGGTAATGTGGCCTTGCATTACAGACTACAGTTCTTATTTTGCATCTGGGGATAGAGTTATGACCAAGTTCAGGCCAATGGAATGTAAGTGGAAGTGCATAATTTCTAGGTCACTTGCTGAAGGATAAAGCCACTTGCTTTGGACTCTTCCTCCTTTCCACTGGCTGGGAAACGGCATTGACTGGACCACCCTCAGAAGCCAAGTAAGGTAGATGGCAGAGCCCCCAGCTTTAGAGTACTCAATTCTTGATGCTGTCGTTTCAAGATCGTACTCTTGGATGTATTCTCTTAATCAAATGCTATATTTATAGTCAGATGCCATTTGGGAGGATGTATTTTCCAGAGATTCATGGTGATTTAACCTAAGTGATAAGTAATTCTCTACCATGAAGTGACCGGAACCCTAATGCTCAGGAACATCTCTGTCACAAGAGCTATGCAGTCACAGTATTATAAGCATTCATTTTACAGACTAGGTAAAATGACTCACCAGAGACAACACAGTAAATTAATAGCACCACAAGGAGCTATAATCCAGGTATCCTGACCCTTAGTTTAATACCCTTTCTATTATAGTCAACTTTACTTCATGCTTGGTACAGACAGTAGTGGTGAGTATTTCAAATCTCAAAACAATTCTAATAACTTTTAAACTAGATTGGGTTGGGGAATCTATTATTTTAAGTCAGCAGCAGATTGTCTTTCCTAATGATGCCTTGCACAAAACAGCAGGGGATGAAAGACTGCCCTGATTGCACACAAATCAGATAACCTGGATGAAGATAATTAGCATTAATAAGACCTTTTATTATAAAGGACTTGGAGGTTTTCAAAGAATTTAGCATCCATCACCTCTGATCCTTTGGCTGCCCTGTGAGGTAAGCAGGGTAGATATAGTTTCCATCATATTATAGATGAAGAAATAAAATAATCCCAGAAACAATAAGTGACTCACCCAGGGTCGCATGTCTTTGACCGATGTTGGCAGACTTTATTACTCCATGTTCAAAGGTCTTGTTGTCACATGCATCTTCCCAGATAATTGATATCTCTTACTATGAACCAGATAATATTCCAAGTGCTTTGCATATAATAACTCATTTCCTCTTCCTACAAGTTAAATTCTGTTATTACCATTTACTGATGAGAAAACTGAAGCACAGAGAGACTGAGTAACTTGTCCAAATCACACAGTCTCATAAAGCAACCAGAGCTGAGACCCAAACATATGCAGGCTGTACCCAGAATCTGTGCTCTTAGCCACATCACTATGCCACCTCTCCATTTAGAACTTAGAAGCAATTTTATGATTCATATAGCTCATGGGCACACTTTAAAGAGTCTTGAGATTAAGTTCAGATACCTCATAGCTCCTATGACAGTCACAAGCCCTCCCTTTGATGTGATGGCCACTTGATCTTATTGTCTACTTATGTGATAGATGTGATCAGAGTTTTATTTTTAGACCACCTGGGCAGGGTGAAAGAAGCATTGTGCATAATAATAGCTACTTTGACATCAGTGTTGAAAAGTTTGTATAGGTAGGAGTGAACTGCCTTCTGTTCTTCAGAAGAATTAATGCTATTTTATTACTTCGTTCTGCTTTTCTTTAATTAGTAATACCAAGGAGTGTAGAAGACATATGTTGTTTTCTTCTATTCCTCATTCTTTTGGTAGCATTGTTTTGATTTTCCTTTAGTAAATCCCCTTCTCGTTTATTCTTAGTCCACGTGATTTTAATACCAACCTATCCCCTAGGCACAGGCCCAGTGTATCTCCCTGAAAAAACAGTGGTTGGTTCAGGGATAGGTGTGTGATGCTGGTCAGTCCAATAGAAGTTGTCCTTAGGACTTTTACTTGGACTATTGGAAAACAGAAATCCTCTTTCTACTTAATGACTAATATACAGCAGAGTATAAGCTGGAGGATGTGGGTGGCCATCTTACACCATGAGGGAGTATTTGCCTGAGAATGGAACTAAGACAAAGTAGAACCAATAGATGGAAAGAATCAAGTTGCTAATGATAAATTTGGGTCATCTAGATCTAGCCGTGTCTACCCTTGGACTTTTCAATAACATGAAATTTCCTTGTGTGTTAAACAAGTCTAAGTCGGATTTCTGTTGCTTGCAAACCTAGATTAATGTTAGTAATTAATAAATTGTTCTGTTTTATACAAGCATAACTCATATACCAGATTTGCCTGAAAGCTACACTGTATCAGTTATCTATTGCTACAATAAAGCTGCTTAAAAGACAGCCATAGTGGCATGCAACAAGTCTGTGGTTGGCTGGGTGATTCTACGGTCCTGAGTTGGCCTTGGCTGATCTTGGTTGGGCTCATTCAAGTGGTTTGATGGCCAACTGGTGAGGGACTGGCTGATCTAGCATGGCCTTGGGTCGAATGACTTAGCTACAGGGCTCTGTTATATGTGATTTCTCATCATCCAGCAGGCTAGTTCAGGCTTTTCTCCTAGTAAGGTACAGGCCTCAGAGAGCCTGGAAGAGTGCAAGGCCTATGCTCAGAACTGTCACACCACCACTTCCACTGTATGCTACTGGGCAAAGCAAGTCACAAAAACAGCCCATATTCAAGGTGTGGGGAAATGGTCTCTATCTCTTGATGGGAAGAGCTGCAAATTCCCATTGCAAAAGGCATAGCTGCAGGGAGGAGTGGAGATTTAGAGCCATTTTTGTAATCAGTTTACACATTCATCCTCATTCCTTTTATAAAACAAATATGGTAAAGAGATAAAATAAGCAAAAGGATACTGGGATATAACCAAGTGCTCACCAAAGGAAGCAAATTCCTTCAGTGCATCAAGCAGGGTATGACACTACCCTGTTCTTATTTCACTCATTTAACATGTGTGATTTTCCTTGAACTTGATTCAGAAAGGGTTCCTAGATTCGGAAATCCTATTCTGAAAGAGACTTTAAAGGTCATCTGGCCCAAACTCCACATTTTTCAGAAGAAGAAACCAGATCCCAAAGTTAAAGAACTTTCCTAGGGCCACACAGAGGCAGATCTGGATCCTTACCTGGTGACTTCCAGTGCAGCAGGCTTTGATCATCTTGTGCTGTGCCCTCCCCACACAAAGGCAGGACATAGTAGAGGTCACATGCTTGAACTTGGAAGTCAGCCTGGGTTCTAATCCTGGCCTGGTCACTAATAAGCTCTGAGACTTTGGAAAAATTATTTAACCCCTCTGTGGAGGATGGTAGTACTATTTCCCTCATATGGTGGTTGTGAGAATTAGATAAGAGAAGGCAAATAAAGCACATAGTAAGTGTTCAATAAATTTTAGGTATTATTATCTCTTAAAATACAGCTTTTTTTTTTTTTTTGGCTTGTTTCTGCCTGCATTTAGTCTGGGTTTGGGTGTTTAGAGGAACTGAAGATATAACTCCTAATATTTAGATTTCAGGAGTAAATGAATCTTTTAAAATTACGTTGGATTACAATTCCATGTTTCCTATAAGAAGGGATGCTTGTCACCTAATTCATCTATTTATTTTCTAATAAACATTTCCTGAGGGTATACTCAGAGTTGGGCATTACATTAGTTTGTTGTTGCTGTAACATATTACCATAAACTTAGTGGCCCAAAGCAGTGTATAATCAGGAGGTCAGAAGCCTGAAATGAATCAGCTGGGCTGCATTCTGAACTAAAATCTGGACTCCTGTCAGCTCAATAAGGCTTCATTGCTTAAACAACAAGATGTTAGACAGTCAGGAGACTTAACTTTTAGTCTCACTTCTAGTATTTAAAATCCTATCAGACCTTTGTCACTTTCTTCTCCTTGAGCCTCAGTTCCCTATCTGTAAAAGGAAGAGGTTGGACTTGTCCCTTTTTGCTTTTACCAGTTGTCCTATCCTAGGCTGTTGCAGTTACTCATGGGGTGGGGATAAGGGACCAAGGTTTGGGTGGGGTCAATAGGTATGGTAACAGGGGCTGAGCATTTATACCTACCTCAGTTGTTCAGACATGTTACAGAAAGATTTTATAATGGGTCATGGTGGACCAGGAAGAACCCCTAACTCATTTCCCTAACATTTTTGAGACTTTACGATTAGTCTCAAATCCTCTTTCCACAGTGCCAAGTAGATAAGATTTCAGGGCCAAGGATATTTGCCTCTGAGTTTTAAAAAAGAGCTTCGTAATTACCAAAGGACTTGAGACCATGACCATCACGGCCAAGTCCAATACCTAGCTAGTGGTGTGCTGGAGTAGCTTGTACCTGCTTGTGAGAGCTGATTGCTAAATATTAAAAAATTCTGTGAACCAAACAACCATTGGTATCTTGAAACTGCCCATGGTGGGAGTATTGACACCATAGAAATTGGCAAATGCAACAAACTGGGGCTCCCTCAGCCCCCTGAGCTGGTTTACCAGAACGTCCCTGCATCTGGCTTTGAACACTGGTAACTGCTTATCCAAGATTGCGGATAAATTAAATATGTGTGTCTAAAAAAGAATTTTTTTTTTCTTCCTTGCTTTTTGGTTTGTAGATACTAAGAGCAGAGTCTCTAAAACCTGTCTTTTTCTCCCCTTAACAGTGGCTTTCTTTACAGATTCTATGACTCCGAAAGATGCAAATTCCTGCAGAGGTCTTGGCAGGACTCCACATGCCCAAGCCATGCAGGTTCTGACGGGCTAGGCTCTGCCAGGAAACTCAGAACCACGTCAAGGTATTGTGTGCTCTTTCAAGAGAGTTTGTCCTCATGAATTGCCTATATCGGGGCTTAGGGCAATTCTTTAAGGATTTTGGAAACCTCATGAAAATCCTTGCTCTGCCACTCGGTAGCCCTGTGACTTAACCTCATTGAGCTTTCTTACACGTAGAATGGATAACACATACTTGAGAGGGTTTATGGGTTTACCATGAAGCTAAGGAGTTTAAGTACAAGCACCTCCCTTGTATGAGCCCCTCACTGGGGGGGCCTCAGGCATGTTGTATTTTTAATTTTGTAATCTGAAAGACTCCCACCCCAAGATGTTTAATCTTCAGGCCTCACACAAGTTGGATCGGCTCCCGCTTGTAGGAATGAATCACATACCATTTTAAAACACTTGACCCAGAATCTGGCCCATCGTAAGAGCTTCATAAATAGTTCTTGTTGTAATGCCCGTGCTTTCCTTCTATCACCACACATCACACATAGTTTTCCACCCCTCCCTAAATGTCAGCACGTTTTGTTCAGTTTGCTTCTCTTCCACTTGCGACATTGGCTTATCCACTTTCCACTTGCCACTTTGCCAGACTGATTCGATGAGGTGCAGTATGCAGGGCCCCACTGCATCCATTTTAATGATGGGAAAACAATGTTTAGCAATTATGTTCTTCACTGAAGTAATGTGATGGCAAGGAGCGATCATAAATAATTTGCCTAAAGCGCCTTGGTGTGACGGGAATCAAAGTCATGTTAATGCTGAACAAAACACCCAACAGAACAGGAAAACAAAGGACAGTTGAGGCAATGCTGTCATGTTTTGCCAGTTGTTAAAAGAAGAGGCCAGTTGTCAGTCGATCATGACGTAGAGAAGCTTCTCTTAGAGCAAGTGTATCTCAGAATTATCAAAGGGCTCTAAGTCACCCTAATAATGAGCTTTTACCACAAGCAGAAAGAATGTAAGCCACATTTAGTCTTAAAAGATACTGTACTTTGCACTGCATTTGTGACAAGAATCTCAGAGCCATTGTCTTTGCTCTTGGTGATTGAAAGGAGCGAATGAAGTGCCTGTGAGCCTGACATGGTCCTTCTTTCCTGAGCTGTAAGAAGGGAACTTGACTCAGATGCACCTAGGTACAGCCATTGTTGACCGCCTATTTATTGTAGACAGGCGCCATAAATGGTGATGAGTAAAGCCGGGTGTCCGGCGCTTTCTATTACACCATGCTGGAAGCTGCCTGGTCAAGTGGAGAGGGTGGCCGTTGAGATCAGCTGAATCTGGATTAATCCTGGCTCTGTTTTGTACAGGGGTCTGTGATTTAGACTATGTAATCTCTTTGAACCTTAAATTTCCTCATCAAAAAAATGTAGAATAATATCACTCACCTTGCAGGATTGTTGAAACCTAGCAAGTATTTAGTAAATGTTAATTTTCTTACTCTTTCTGAAAGCACTAAATGTAAGTACAATGTTGGTAGGCTCAGAAACTGTTTATGTAGCTTTTCTGAATCTTGTATTATTTTAGTAGTTGAGACATTTTATTACAAAATTGTCTTATTACAAAAGCAATGCCTTTTTTGTGACACAAGAATTAAAATATTTAGACAAGCAAATAGAAAAAACTAGAAAATTATACACAATTTGAATATGTAGTTAGAGCTTCTGTTAACACCCTTGGGTGTATCATTCCATAACATTTTTTTATGCCTATAAATACTTATTAAAAATGTAATTATATAATACATATTATTTTATAACCTCCTTTTAAAAAATACAATAGATGTTATTATGGAAACCCTTGGGAAAATCTTTCATGACAAAGTTAGGTAACAATTTTTCTTTGTCATGGGAAGCAGTTGAGATGAATACACTATGACAATTGTCTATTGTTATTAAGTAAGTTATACCAAAATTTCAGTGCCCCTTTCCCAGAGAAAGGCCACTTAGCTGCTGTAAGGAAAGAAAATAAGTAACATCTACAAATCTCCTTCTTGAAGCCCCTTTGTTTAGAAATCATTTTTGTTTTCTTTAAAGGGTTGTATAAAAACTAGAAAGAAACTTGCCCTTTGTATTCAAAACAAGGCAAAAAGAGATTTGTGATGGGATATTGTCTTAGTTTGGGCTGCTAGAACAAAATACCACAGACTGGGTAGCTTAAACAACAAACACTTATTTTCTCACAGTTCTGGAGGATGGAAGTGGAGATCAGGATGCCAGCAGATTTGTTTCCTGGGGAGAACTCTGTTCCTGGTTTGCAGATGGCCACCTTCCAGCTGTGTCCTTACATAGTTCAGAAAGAGAAAGAGAGAGACAGATAGACAGACAGACAGACAGACAAAGACTGAGAGAAATCTGGTTTCTTCCTCTTCTTATAAGGACGTTAATCCCCTCATGGGGGCTCTACCCTGATGACCTCATTTATTTAAATCTAATTACTTCTAAAGGCCCAACTCCTAATAACATCACACTGGGGGTTAGGGCTTCATATGAATTTTGGAAGGGGACACATTCAGATCATAACAGATATTATTATAAGCCCATAACTTCTACTCTAGAGAAGACAATGAATAGGAGCAAAACACCTCCCACCCCTTTTGATCCATCTTGTTAGAAAAAATAACTGGATTGACTCAGACTGGCAACCAGGCTGCTGTGTGGATGGTTGAGGAATTTCACCCTTGGGTAAGGGATGAAAGCAGTACAGGTAATGTCTGTATATTACTTAGTGAAGTATTTCATAGAGAACCAAGGTAGAGTGGTACCTGTTAGTCAGTCTGCTATATCTTGTGTCCTCAATATCCTTTTCATTGAAAGTAAACAAGAATCAAAAGTCTTGCCAAGGACTTTTTTATAGGGATGGAGGAGCTACATCCCTAATTTGGGCAAGCTGACTAACCCTAACTTATCTTTCCATAACAATAGATATGATGTTTGCTTAGTATGCAGTTGTACAGACTGTTCCCTCAGTTTCTCAAGTGGAGAGGGTGATTGAGAAAGGGATCTAACTCTTTATAAAAAGCCTACACTCCATTCCAGGGATTGCCTCTTGTTATCATTCAACAAGTACCATCTGAGCTCCTACAAATAGTACTTGTGGTCCAGGCACTCTTTTATGTGTTAGGGATACTGTGGTAAACAAGACAGGCAGGGTTTCTCTTCCCATGCTGCTTACACCCTGCTATTTGCTGACCTAAGATAATGATTATAAACTTAACACTGATGACTCTAGGATTTCCACTTAGTGATGCATCAGAAGAAAGGTGAAGGAAACCACAACATGAAGAAGGAGTATCTTTCTGGAATGTCACTTTCACTTGAGGACTTAAGGGGGAAAGAACATCACTTTTTAAAACTAAAAGAAACACTAAATATTTTTTATGGAATTGAAGCCTAAAATTTTAATGAAATTATAGAAGAAACAGGCCGCACAAACATTTCTTGTTTGTAGCATCTGTTCATAGCTGCACCCTGGATCACATGGGGGTGAGAGCTGGCTCCCCTCTGCGTATTGAGGGCATCATGGTGGAATTCTTTGAGAAAAATTGCTCTTGAGTTTATATCTCCTTCATAGAGCTCTTGGGAGAATTAGACGAGGTGACCCATGTAAAATGCCTAACATTGGACTGGCACTTAGAAAATGCTCCATATATTCATTTGCTGTCCTGCTGTCATTCCTCACAACAGTGGTGTGGAAAATCCATGGGCTTTAGAGTCAACAAACCAGGGTTTGAACACAGGCTCATCACTTTGGGGGTATCTCCAAGTCTCATTTTATATATTAGGATGTCCTTTCCTGGGGTAGGGTGCCTACAGTTTCCTCTTTTAGAGCTCTGGCCTATACCAAACTAGGATTTATAAAAGGGAGGAGGGAGAGAGAGGGCAAGTCTATGTTGAGAAGGAAAAAGTCAGTGTGTTTGTAGACCAGAGTATCTGAGTTATATTGTGACAAGAGGCCAATAGCAGCAGGAGATTGGTTTATCTTATGAATGTTTCTCTTCCAGGTGGGGAGTGAAAGGGCTGTTTCCTCTATCCCCTTCACCTAAGCACAGGATCTGAAGCACTGTCTCTCTCTCATCCAAACACTACCCCTGGCTAAACCGAGGGGAAACTAGCTAGCCCCTATTTATACTTGTTGCCTGAGTCATATGCTAGAAAGGATGAGCGAGGCTCTGGGGAAAGACAGAGGAGAAAAAAGACTGATAAGACCTTGAGAAGGTGTTTAGAGGGAAAGAATTCCCTGATGCCCCTGTTAGTAAGGATGTGGTATGGACTAAGAGATGGCTCAAGGGGAAATCTGTGTGTGCTTGATGGAGCGACATCCTCCCCACAGTGTCCAAGTAAAGAATACAGTGAAGAGGTCACATATTGGCTGGTAATACTACTGCCTTCCCTCTCTACTCTCATCTTTTAAACTCTAAAGGTTTAAGACCTAAGTACCGAGAATACTGCGGTGCCACTCTACCCACTTGCTGACCACCTCTCTTTGTGAGTTGTTTACAGATTGAACTAAATTTGGTGGCATAAAAGTTCCTTTGGCCAACTCCACAGTCTGGTAAATCCAGCAATGATTCTGACTGCCCTGACCACATTGCTCATGCTTTCCTCTACCCAGAATGTTCTCTTAGCCTCCTTCTCTTGGTGAACTCTTGCCAGTCCCCCCAAAGTCAGATGAGGCATGATCTCTAAGAAACTTTTCTTGACCCAACTTTGAACTTCCACATGATATTTCTACCTTGTGGCTGTGTTTGTATGTTCGATCTGCTGAATATCTACTGGTAGGCTCCTGGAAAGCAAGCTAATGGTCTTAATAATCTTTTCATCATTCTAGTCATTCCAAGGATCTAGTCCAGGCCCTGCTAAATAAATAGTGGCTGTTATTATTGTATTTATTACCTCTTTTATCTTTGGTCAAAATGATAGTACGAGCACCTCTAGTTATGAGTATTTACAGATCAGTTTCTCTGAAGGGCAATCTGAAGTGGAAATTTGTTGGGAAGAGCTCTCAGGATCAATCCCTC